AGAGTTAATTTTATCAATGCACTTGCTTTTAGTGATCGATCAACATGGTGAAAATGCCAATCCCGAGTCTCGGAACTGACTGTGAAGAATGACCAAGTTATAAGTAATTATGCAATCAAGCACCAGCAAGAGCACATAAACAGAGATCAAAGCGAGAGACGTGATTTAGCAATCACACTCGTGGATTCCTTATCAGTATCACCAATTTTTCTACCAAAAAAAAAAAAAAGAAGAGTTCAAGGCTATTAGAGTTTATCATTAATCACCCGGGGAAAACAAGTTGATTATAGTGTAAACAATAATCTCTAAAACTGACAGTTTATTCAGTGAAATTGAAAGAAATAATACTATCGCACTGTGAGGGATAACAGGTTAGAAATGCGATTACCGGAAGACCCACAAATATCGCTCTTCTCTCTTTTTCGAGAAAACTAATAGGACTGGCTGAATTTAGGAACGCACCAATTTAAGAATTAATCATCAACGGGAAAAAGGACACCTGCGAGCTCCAATACGACCCCAGTTTATTATTATTAAGGAGAGGGAGAGAAAGGATGGAGATGATTACGGGATTTTCCAGAATGCTCTCCGACATTACGTTTTATATAAAAAGCATAAGATTGCTTCCCTTTCCTGTTGGTTTCCTGGTGATCCTTTCTCGGCAGCCAACGAGATATCAATGCAGAAAATACCAAAAAACAAAGCTTAGAGATGGTGATGGTACTCACGAGGAGTCTGGTTGGAGGTAAATGAAGTGAGAGTGGATCTTCAACTGTGAGGCTCCTCTGTTACTTTCAGTGTTGCTGGCGGTGATGTACTTCTCTTCCCAACTATTACTTATAGATGCAATTACTTGTTCACCACCTACTTACTTTTTCCGAAAAACACTCGCGAGAATTTAGTTTGGATAATGGACAGAGGAGAAATCTAGAGTCCAAGAGCTGACACCTCGAGTGCTCTCCATCCAACCGCTGCCACGCCCTCTTGGCATGCAAGAAGGTTGAGCCTGCGTCGTTGGATTGAAGCTCCCCATAGGATGCCTCATATTGCGCCCAAAAGCAACACACGGTCGTATACACTACCGCATTGCATTAAGCGGTGGATGACGGCGTTTTCCTTTTTTCTAGGATGTCGTTTGCTTGTTTTAGCTGGCTAATAATGTTGCATCCTCATTCCTGTTGAGGCGCCATATATTAAAAAAGGGTTAAGCTGCGCTCAGCATCCTGAACTATTTATCCAGGTGTGTCCAACAGCCTAAAGTAATTTTGAGTGCATCCAGTGTCCTAAACTAATTAAAATGGTGCGTCCATATCCCAAGCTAATAGAAATGTTATGTTTAACTGTTACTTTCCTGACTTAGCTTAAAAGTTGACCCCAGATATTCTACATGGTAAACACATGGGCACCTGATGTGTATTATTCTTACTCAAAAGTCAATTTATTTAGAAGAAGAGGAAGGAAATAAATTCAATTTTGAGTAAGAATAATACATATCAAATGTCCATATGTCTACCATTTAGAATATCTGGGTCAACTTTAAACTGAGTCAGGAAAGTAACAGTTAAACATAACATTTTTGTTAGCCTGGGATATGGACGCACTATTTTAATTAGTTTAGGATACTGAATGCACCCAAATTACTTTAAGCCACTGGACGCACCTGGGTAAATAGTTCAGGGTGCTGGACGCACCATAGCCCATTAAAAAATTGAAAAAGAAACAAAGTCTTGTTTGTGAAACCATGTATATAATATATATTATGAGGCTTTGCTCTTTCGTGGAACCTATCTTAGAACGGGCGAATCCCTCCATTACAATTAGACTAGATGTCCAAATACGAGCCAATCTAGTCCAGATTTCCGTGACCCGTCCTGTCACATTTTTTTATTTATTTTTTTAATTTTTTGATTGAAATATCAAAGTGAGACATGGCTCTATTTTTAGAACAAGATGAATTTCATGCACATTAACTTTTTCCCCAGGAAATTTCATGTACATAACACACCAAATGACAATAAAAAAAAAATTCGACAGTTCATCTAATTCTCTCCAAAAATCACAATTATAATTCACATTTCACAGAGAATGAAGAGGGAGGGAGACAAAAATAAGGATGGCGGTTAAGAAAATTAGGACGAGGAACTCACCTGGGGGCTTGAAAAGATTGATTCTATATTAAAATATCGCATTAAATATAAATCCCTATTTAATATGAACAATATAAATAAATTGGGATTATTATCGTTGGCCAAAAAAAATTGGAATTATCATAATAAAATAGAATTTGCATCCCATGCTTTACAAAGTTTGAAAATGAACTCATCTTTCATAAATTAATTCAAATCTCATATTCACGGAAACAATTATATCAATATTAAGGGCCCGTTTGGTTCAATTACCAGTGCTTATAAATAATAATGCATTGCGATACAATGGGGTGTGATGTAAATTTCCTTACCATCAATATGTTTGGTAAGTTATTAATAAGATTTGGCAAAAAAAAAAAAATCTTTTACATTTAATCAAATAAAATAAGATTAAAAGTCTAGAATATCCCCAATCATAGGCAAAGACAGAGATGCTCCTACACCTCCTTCTGCAATTGCCGATCCCCTCTGTCAAATCCTTGCAAGTCACAACACCTCTTCAACAACTCATAGTCCACCTCCATTTTTGCTTCAGCTTTGTCTTGAATTTTCCAATTTGAAACATTTTCAGTTTTCTTCTCTCCATAATTAGACTACAGTGAACAAGAAAGAAAGAACCAAATTAACATTGCTTTTCTCTATACAGATGCCTTCAGCGTCTTCAGCTCTTAGACGCAATACAGTTCTTATATGTCATTTCAACATCCATTGTCTCTCACTGTGATGATCCTTGTGCATTGCCCATCTTGCACGACTTTGTGCTTTAGTTACATTTGAGTTCTCTCACTGCTGGCAACAATTCCCTTTCTCCATCAACTGTGTTTACATGTGATGCACCCAAAACAACACAGATCTAGAGAGAGGAGACAAAGATCAACAAATTTGGAAGTAAAGGTGAAGTAGTATGAGGAGGTGACGATAATAAAGAAAGAACAAGGGAGAAGGAGAGGCAGTGATGGTGGTAATGGAGGGAGGGAGGTGAAGATAAAGTTTGGAGAGGGATAACATTTAAGCGCAAATATTATATTTTCACATTGATTACGAAGGATAAAATGGACATTTATGAGAGATTGCAGCCTTACAATGATCATTCGTAGCTCCTCCCATAGAAATAAATATTATCCAAAAAGTACAATTGATATTGCCATTGTAATCTTTTTTTACCATTAGCAAGTCAAACCAAACATATCATTTATGGTAATACAATAAGTATTATCGTTGCAAGCTTGCAATGAGGTTGAACCAAACAGGTCCTAAGTTTTATAATAAATTTCAATATCAAAGCACTGCTGATAATGTAAATTATGGTCATCTAGGAAAATGCGAGTCGAAGAAGATAAGGCAGATCCAGCGTCTGTTATATCATAAACTGTGATCCAAGAGGGAAAAAATCGAATTGAATTATGACAACGGATGAAGGCCTCGAAATCCATGTTTTGTTATTATACTACCAAAATTACTCCGCTTTGCAGTAAACATTAAGCACAACACTGCGGTTGACACTTGACACAGCACAATAATTTCATGGATCGGATCGGACGTCAGTTTTCAGATGAGTGGCTCGGCCAGTTGTCCCCTGACTGTTGGGTGTAGCTATTGTTAATACTCGAGTATGAGACTTAGGCGGTTTGGTATTTGACAAGCTATTGGTAACCGTTTTTCAAGCTAAATACTGCCTCAGGCATGTGATGCATTTTGTAATGCTAGAAGTCGGATTTTATAAATTACAATTTTAACTCATAATCCAGCAATACGTTACATCACTAGAGACTGCTTTTTTGCCTGACTCCATTTTTTTGCTGTGTATAAAATATAGCTTTCAATTGTACATTCAAATTGGAATTTCGAGAAATGATTTTGATTAAAATTGCAAGATACAATTTTCCCCCTTTTTAATCGATATTTAAATTCTTCTCAATTAAAATTTACTTTCGAGTGTTTTATACTTTGCCAAGCTTCTGTTCAGTTCATAAAAGTATCATTTAGGGGGCAAAAAAAACAAAAAAGAATGCGATATGGTGGTTTAAAAAACGTATGTGATAGTAGTTTCAAAATGCATGTTTTGATCAGAATAAATGATCGAAGAAGAGCGTGCACAAGATATTGTTTGGATGGGGGTGCGTGTGAAGCGAATGGGAGAGAATATATATTAAAAAGGGAAAGGATAGAAGGAGTAGAAGTGGTGAAGAAGGTGCGACGTAGGCAGTTTACCAGAAACAGCAAGAGGAAGGGTGAAGCAGCTGGGATGGGGGTCAAGAAAATGCCGCGTGGAACGTTTCTGCCAGCCAAATGAGGCCCCAACACCCCATCCCTGACCCTGTCACAGGAATACGAAGGCCGACCGGGTCAACTCAACCCTGAACTGAAAGTACACCCATCCTGAAATGTATGCATCATCTACTGCCCAGGGTCGGAGCTCTGCAGCTGGTTGCCCCGCCACCCAATCCCATCCATCACCTAACTCCTACGCACACCATCCATATCAACAATTGCAGTTATTTTATTCTCCGCAATTTGTCACAACCATTCTATACTGCAAACTGGAAGCGGCATCTTATGCCAAGAAATTAAAAAACATAATCTATCTTGAACGAATGATTACAATGACTATACGACGGGATAAACTTGGCATGGGCGATTGGGCGAATCAATAATTTAGAGCACGGGGTCATAAGCATCGCTTTCGCTTCTTCTTTGAATCCATAGCTGTGTGCTCCGTCGGTTCTCTCAGCTACCAACAACCATCACTGCCAGCTAGCAATGTGAAGTAGCGCACGTTTCTTTCCCACAAAAATTGCAATCTACCGAATCAAGTCGTCAGACCCATTTCGTAATCTTTCACAGATCCGCTAATTGATGCAGAATTAAAAATTTATACTTGATAGTTCTATGCTATGTACAGAATGAATCTCTTCCCTGAAAATGGTGTCCCAAATCAATAATTTTCTTCCCAAAATTGCTATTTCCAAATTCAATCTTCCAAGACCCAAGTTCTGCTGCGCCTCCTCGAGTTCCTACCGAATAATGAGATCGAATGGCTACGACTTATGCTCATGGACTCGCGCTCAGAACCAGCTGATGAACTTGAACTTGAACTTGACCTTGACCGGCGCCTCCCAAAGAATGACAAGAAGTTGCGAACGATTCTGCCAAAGCCACGACTTTCTCTGACTCTGGTGCTTCTCGCTGCTCGGGAAACTGTTCTCGGAGCTCCGTTTGCATTGAGTCCTCCGTCCATTTCTGTGTATACAACAGGGAAATGACTCTCACCGGCTCTGCGACCACCAGAGAACCTCCCAACCGCGAAGCCCCCGCCAGGCAGCCTCCAAATCGTCAATCCTACTGTTTCGTCATCGATTTGCCCCGACATTCTACTGTCCACTGTGTTCCGATCTGACGGCAGCTCATGGCGGCACACGGGGCACGAATTGCGCATTGAAAGCCACGGGAGGATGCAGTCTGAGTGGTATATGTGCTTGCAGGGCATCTCACGCGCCTCCGTACCCAGTTCAAACGCCTCCTTGCACACGGCACAGTGGGCATCGGAACCCACATGGGTCCCCTCAATAACGACCGTGGGCATCGACTCTACGGCTGCTTTGGAAGCGGGCGGGTTCTCGGAACGCCCGAACCCATTCATTTCGATCTGAGCAAACTGCTCCAGAAGCCGTTCGAACCCTGACCCTAACAAGAACTCAGACATGGTCGGCGGCAAGGGTCGGAGACCAGAGCCGTCCCCGTCATCGTAGTACAACTCGAAGCTGCTTTCCTCCTGGTCACCACCGACACCGTTCTGTCCGGCGGTTGCGTCGACGGGTCCACGAAGAACAATTACAGGGTTAAAGGGCGATCTGTTGCCGGCGTTGCGGCGTCTTTGACGGAACCCTTGTCGGCTGAAATCGTAGGAAGTAGGAGCTGAATCGGGGAAGATGGGAGGAGGAAAGGGGCTCAGGTGGTGATGATCGGAGGAAGGGTGGTCGTGGATCTCTTCAACGAAGCCGCTTTGGCAGTGAGGGCAGGCGACATCACCCCGATCGGAGAGGCGGACAAAGCGGGTGCAGCTGTAGCACCAGTAGGAGGCCGGGAGGGGTGCCGTGTCGGAGTTCATCATCGGTGATTATGGTAGAGGTCCAGAGTTGACTGGGGGGAGAGAAGAGAGAATACGATGAATCTGCTAGGAGGAGCAAGAGGGGGAGCGTGGTTATAAGAGACAGAAGAACGGGAAAGACGAATTGAAGAGAGAAACGTTTGCGTGTGGGCCACGCGTTTATGGTGAAAATACTTGGAAATTTCTAGCCATCAGAAATTAGACTAGTGGCGATGGGCTGGGGGTGACGGCATCGGTGAGTTGGGCTCCTCGGATTAAGTGATTAAATAATTAATTGCACGATTAAAAGATGAGATCAGGAGCCTGTTTTACTTCATACTTAAGTATTTGTAAGCATCCTCTAAAATAAATAAATAAATGACTGGAATTCTTTTTTTCTGTTAATTTCAGAAGTGTTCAAAAATGATACTGAAATATAAAATATTGCACTGTACAAGCCTTAATATTAATAGTATAAAACCATATAAATAATCCTATTAAATTAAAGTAGAGAAATATAGGATCCCCGGCGAGCACTTGGGAGTAATTGTTAATCTAAGAAGACCACGACTGAAAAGTTAGTGAAATTGAAAAACAAAAAACAAAAAAGGGGTGAGAAGAAAAAGAATAAAAAGGAAGATATTGACCGCGTGGATTCAATGGAGAGACGCCGAGTTTGAAATTCAAATAGTGCCCCGAGAGAGAGAGAGAGAGAAGATTCCTTAAACGAGGCATCCGGCCATCGCCCATCCCCCGCCAAAATACCCACACTGCCATCTTTCTCCTGCAAGGTTGAAATTAGTAATCATGGAAAATAATAAAGTCAAACAAGCGAACTCGCTCTATTTACAGGTTGGATTATTGGTGAATCCGCAAGTTTAATGAAAAAAAGAAAAAGAAAAAATTACAAAAAAAAGGAAACTTCAAAATTAAAAAATCACATACAAAGAGTGGTTCGCAAAAATTGTTATCAATTATTTATTAATTATTGTTAAGACTAATATTAATATTATAATGGATCCTTATTTACAATTTTTTGATTTCAAAATTTTTTTTCGTGATTTTCTCATTAAAAAGAAAAAGATTTCAAAGGAGTGTCTCACAACTTAAATTCCGTCTTCGTTCCCACCTCCCACTCAATGAACCTTAGTTGACCCGATTATGGATGACGTGGTTGTTTTAATTAGCAAACAGCTTAAAAATAATAAATATACTAATGCTGTTTAAAAAAAATCTAGGACCCCATTGAATTAGCAAATACACATGATATGAAGCATTCAGAATCAGCGACAGCGAAGATAGAAGCGCGGTCAACAAAAGGACATACAGAGGGAGAAGCAAAAGCATGAGAAATAGGAAGAGCCGAAGGGGCATGGTTTTTCTGAATGCCGCCAGTTGTTGCCTTTGTACAGTACACTGTGCAATATGCATTCACAACTCACAACTAACTGGCCCCGCGGCCCCGGCCCCCATCTCCATGAGAATCAGCCCCGCCCCCTCACAATCCAGCACGGCCTTCCTTATAATTTCTTTCATCTCTGTTTTTTCCCCCCAGCGGCCTTGCTTATAATTTCACTTATTTCTTTTTTTTTGTTGGGTGATTTTAAATAAATAATGAAAGAAAGACAAGTGCTACTCAATCATCCATAAATCAATAAGCATGTATAACTTAAAATCCATCCTGAGTATTACTCCCTCTCGTCCTATATATGTAAAAAGGTATAGCCCATTTCATAAACTTTAATTTTTTTTTTTAAAATCAATTCCCCCTGCATTTGATGTACGTTGCGGGAGGTAAAAGCTAATTTCTGTCAAATTAATTTTTACAATAAAATTAAGAGAGAATTACAATCAAGTCCCATAGAAGAGAAATAATTACAAAAAGATCCTAATAACAACCTCAACAACCTATAATGACAAATTGACAAGTCCTATAATGAGAATAACAACCTCTGGAATTTGTTTTTCAATTGTTTTCATTGCTTTGAACTTCATCGTAATTCTCCCTAAAATTAATATGTATTTTGCATTAATTAATTTTTTTATCACGCCAGCAAGTTTAAATTTTGAACATGTTCCCATATCCCATCCCACCATTTTAAATTAATTATTAATAAAAATGACTTGAAAAAAAAAAGTATCATGCTTCTCTTCTTGATCTTGAAAGTTGAAACACTATTCCTCTTCTTCTCTTTCTTTTCCCCATGAGCAGTCTTAAAACACCTTCCTTCCTATTAATCTCAATAAAAAAATTTAGTCTGTATTTTTTTTTTGCGAACTAATTTGTATTTTAATGGAAACTATTAAACTATAAATCAGTTCTTGTATTAAAAATGAGAGGCAGTACTTATAATTTTTCCCACCGAACATTTCCATGATTTTCAGTCTGATTTCTTCTAAGATGCCCAACGTGTGCTAAAATGATGGTGGCTGAATGGAATGGATATAAAGATTGAAGGTTGTAACAAGCCCTAAAAAAACAAGTAAAATCACAATATTTTGTCAAACAGCAGGACAAGCGGAACTTACACGGAGGATGTACGCGTTTTGATGATTTCAAATCAGGGTAGCTCGAGATCGTTATCTACCATCATTAAATTAGTGCGACTTGGCGTCAAATTAAAACACTACTACTCCTACATAAATAGATATAGATAATATGACAAACAGAACAAAGAATGTCATTATATGATGCCCAATCAGCTGAAGCCACAGTTTAGGCATACCCCGAACAAACCCTCCATTCCCTCGCCTGACTTTCTGTAAAGGACGACATGCGCGTAGCTTCTTACAAATTAAAATAAAAATAAAAAGGTATATATGCGGGTGTATTCTTGTCAAACCCGCGGCTACCAAAACGCAACGACTATTGTCTACTGCTCGTCCGTCCGACAGAAAATACTCCTCGATCGACCTTTTTCTATAAGGAAAAAAAAAAACAGAGAGTTAGGCATCGTACGTTCACACTATTTGTTTACGGTCTCTCTTAAAAAGAGAGAGAGAGAAAAGAAAGCAGGAAAACACTGTAAAACCAAGAGAGGGAAAAAAAAAGTAAAAAACGGGCGCACATCTCTAGTTGCCCACTGTACTCGATTTGCAAAGACAAAAACCAAAGAGGAAAAAACGGTCCTATATCATCTCGAAGATCTGTCCACCATCTCTTTGAGCTGCGGGAGAAGAATTCGGCCAGGTGAGCTTTTGAAATCAGATTTGAGTTGAGCGTGTTAGAGTCGGGAAAACGGGCCGAACCCGTCGGGCCGGTCCTTTTAGGCCCTGAAATTATGAAGGCCGGGCTTGATATTTTTCTCTTAAAATGAAACATAAGCCCTGGAGGGCCGAGGGCTTAAAAGGGCCGGCCCTGGAGGGCCACGGGCCGGCCCTTTTAAGCCCTTTTATTTTTTTTATTTTTAAAATTTTTTTATATAGTATTAATGTTATTAATTTTTTACATTGTTAATAATATTTCAAATATTTAGTTATTATTATCATTTTAAAAGTAAATTTAGTTTTAGATAATAATTTATTCAATTAAATTTTTAAAAAATGGGTTAATTTAGACTTTAATAATGAGTTGATTTATATTATATGCGTTGATATTTTTAAACTATATATATATTTGATAATAGAATATTTTTATACTTATATAACTTGTGATTCTATAATTTGAATTAGAAATTCATGAGTTTCAACAGCAATGTTTCTCACATTAAAGTAAAATAATAGTTAGATTGCAAAATTTAAAAATAAAATTCTTATAAAGAAGAAAAACTTGATATTTTTGTTACGAAAGAAAAGTATACTTATGAAAAAAAGTAATTAATTATAGTGATGATGAAGTTTCAAAAGATTAATAATAGTGTTTATTTATTGTACAATTGCATTATAGATAAAACTTTTAGATGTTATTATCTTGTTAATGAATGTTTTAGATGTTCTTAGATGTTGATGAATATTTATATATGATGATATTTTATATGTGACTTAATTTTATTCATATTTATCTTTTATTAATAATTTCATTGATTTATTTTTATAAAAAATATGATAAATATAAAAAATAGTATTTTTTCTTAAACGGGCCAAAAGCCCGCGGGCCAGCCCTGACCCTGTAGCTTAAGGGCCGGGCCTAACAAATTGGGATATTTTTAAAATTCCAGTCCTGGAGGGCCGGCCCTTTTAAGCCCGCCAGCCCTGAAGGGCCGGCCCTGATTCCCGACTCTAGAGCGTGTCCATTTCTTCCCTCACCACAACCTCCAACTTTCTTGCATTGGAGATTAAAGGTTCTGGCTTGTTTGCTGTTACCCAAGATTATCAAAGATACGAGTTTGACTCCTTTGTTAGGAAGCTTTGCTTCTTCTCTGTTACAGCAGTTCACTGAAAGCAATAGAAACACGAGTGTTCGGCATCAGAATTTGTTCTGTAAAGCTAACATTTAATCTGTTTTCCTTTTCCGGACGGTCTTTTGATGTTGCTCTCGGGCAAAAACATTTAGCTGGCCGAGGATTTATTTCCATGATCTCGTTGCCCATTAAGAAATTGAACCTTCTGCAGCGGAAACTCAATGACTGTGCTAACTTCAATTTCGCAAAACTTGTCAAATGGTGAGATCGAGTAAGTTTGTTGCGCTGGCCGCTGATTTTGAGTTTCAGTTTTTAGGTACCATATCCAATATTTAATATAATCTTGTCTAAAATGCGTGTGTTTTTCAAACGCCAAATCGAAGACGAACTTGTGCACATCACACTCATTTTCTTATAGTTTATTTTATTTTAAAAGTTATATTCTGTTTTTATCAAGAAAAAGATTACTGCTATAATCTTACCTCCGCTGAACACTAACAGCGCAGTTAAAAATGAATCTGTTATCTGATCAAAAAAGGAAAAGGGAAGAATCTACTATGGAAATGTGGCAGTATTTTGATGTAATACAGGACTTCGATTCACAAAAAGCACAAAATGAATGTTCTTGCGATAGAGATGTGAAGACAAGCAATCCGGCAATTGAGGAAAATGGGAAGGCCAAGGAATCTAGGATTCTAGTGGATGGGAAGATTTCGATAGGCGATGATATGACTTAATCATCGCCGTCGTCGTCAATAATCTTCTGGCCAAATCCTTTAGGGCCAGCCCTAACTCTGACCTTTTTCTTCTTCTTTTGCTTGCCAGTATTAGCAGCTTCTTCCTTCTCGAATTTATCTTTCTCTCTCTTCTGCAGGAAATCCGTGACTCCTAAATAGATGACCTGCACAGGAAAGGGCGTGCCAGAATGAGGAGGAGGGAATTGAAAGGAAAGAGGAGAACAGAGTGTTTACCCCGAGAGTGAGGATGGAGAGGCCAATGAAAGCAGCGAAGAGAAGAGCGGAGATGACGGAGGAAACGCCGTCATCAGAATCGGTGGCGGAGACAATGTCCTGGGCAGTCTGAACGACGGTGGATTCGGAAGGCGCAGCACATGGAGGAGAGGCACGAATTCTGCGGAGGTTCGTGCTGGGATGAGAAATTGGAAGGAAAGGGTGATTGAGAGTGAGGAGCGTGCGGAAGGGGAGAGCCGGGAGAGTTGCAGAGATGGGGGATGAAGGGAGAGAGGTGGGAATTGGGGGAGAGAAGGATGCTACTGCTAATGCGGGAACCATGGCTCCTCTGCGCCCAACCCATCCTCCACACACCTTTTGGGGACTTCTACTCCATCATGGGCTGGGCCTTCTGCTCCATTTTGGGCTCACTCTTATAACCATGCATTCTCATTCGTCGCTCCCTATCATTTCTTCACTCTTGACAAACATTTGTGTGAATCTTGAAAATTACCTGTAATGCTCATCACTTATAAATAACGCTGTCTTTTACTAATACTACTACATTATATATATATATATATATTGGTCTCCGCTCAGTTGGGAGACCCACGATTTACTAACATTGCTTATTCTATACGTGTTGGGCGGTGCACAGGTTTTTTTTTTTTTTAGGTAAAGGTTGCACTGATTATTTTTATTACGTGTTGTTGAATATTCAGCACTGAAAAAGAAAAAATAATACAATTAGACACAAGTATTTTAAATCTCTAATAGAGTATAACATCAAAGGCAAGTAACATCACAGCATGATCTGAATTTTATCCTGTTGGAACCCATAATTTGTTTATTTTTTTAAAAAATAATTTTTCCGGGTCAAAAATCACCATATGGGGGAACCAGTTCCTTATATCGCCTGCCTGACCCGCGCATTTGGGGTTCGGTTAGCGTGGCACTCCTTTGCTTGCAGCCCTAAAGTCGGCATCGCACGCCTTTGTCGTTGAAGTTTTCCTGTCGTTCCCTTGTTGCCCTCTATATTTTTTATAGTAGTATATGAAAAGAAATAAACGAGAACTGCTTCAAATATTGACCAAACCCCGGGCTTGCAAGGGTGAGGGAGCTCCTCCAAAGTCCAAACCGGAAGAGAGAGAAGGGAAGGGTCCAGCGGAGCCGGAAATGAATGTGGGTTGGCTCCTTTGATTCGGGTGACGCGGGACAAGATGATTGGAGGGTACAGGTGGCAGGGACGCGAATCTTGTGTATTCGGCCACTGGTAAACAAATAATAAGAAGGAAATGCATATGCACAGAGGAGGGAGGAAGATGGATGAAATAGATATTTAGCGGATCTAAAATATCTGGCTCAGCCCTCCACCTCGGCACCTTTAACATTGCGATATTTCACTTTTTTCTCCGCTTCTCCTTTCTCATCAAAAGTGAAAAAGTGCAAAATTTATATTGCCTCCCTCTCCCCTCCTCCTCCCCTTTCCCGTTTCCCAAACAAATATCTTCACTCAATTTCATTTCTTCTTCTCCTTCTTCTGCTCCCGCCTCCCTCCCCCTTCGATCCCATATCCATAATCTTTTCCCCCCTTTTCCATATCATATGACTTCATCCTCACCCCTCCGTATCCCCGCCTGCCAATCTTGATTTTCCCTCGATACTTTTCTTTCTATTAATGGGGGAGGAGGTCAAGATGACCGATTACGACGGCGCTGTCCCCGATGATGATGAGAGAGTCCTCGAATGGGAGTTGGGCCTCCCTACTGCCGATGATCTCACTCCCCTCTCTCAGCCTCTGATCCCGCCGGAGCTCGCCTCCGCCTTCAGCATATCGCCGGAGCCCAGCCGGAGTCTCCTCGACGTTAATCGTGCCTCCCGGAATACTCTCACCAATCTTCGCGGCGGAAGCTCTCAGGCCTTTTCCTCCAATAATTTCAAGTCGCTCAATGATGACGGGTGTCAGGACCCCATCGTGGTGGAGGCCGATGAAGAGGGCGATCGACATGGGTCGGGGTCCGATTCTCGGAAACTCAGGAAGATCGACTGCACCGAAGAAGCTGATTCGGCTCTGCGGACTGAGAATTCCACGGATGATCCGTCTGCTCGGACCTTGAAGCGGCCTCGGCTTGTGTGGACTCCGCAGTTGCACAAGCGGTTTGTGGATGTGGTGGCTCATCTGGGAATCAAGAACGCGGTGCCGAAGACGATTATGCAATTGATGAACGTCGAAGGATTGACCCGAGAAAATGTCGCCAGCCATCTTCAGAAGTATCGGCTTTACTTGAAGAGGATGCAGGGTTTATCCAACGAGGGTCCTTCATCATCGGACCAGCTCTTCGCTTCCACTCCGGTGCCGCAAAGCCTACACGATTCTGGTGGAAGTGGGCACTCTCATGGAAACGGGCATCTTCCGGTCCCGATTCCGATGCTATATCCACCGCCAATGATGCCCATGCCGGTTCTTGGAATGCCCCATGGTCAGGGTCATCCGCATGCTCACATGGGAATGCCGGTGGCCAATCATGGGTTCGACTCACATCCATATAATCTGTTGCAGCCAAGGGATTGGTCTGGCAAGAAATTTGCTTCGGTTGTATCAGACCCTCACGTTGCTACTAACGATAAATGAGCTTTCATTCAGAAATTTGTCAACAACTCAGTAACGGTGAGCATAGTTGAATTTTCTTCGTTATTTCTCATCAATCTTGTCCGTCTACCTGACCTTGTGATATGAGACAGTATAAAGGGAACCGATCAGGGATTTCATAACTGTTGTCTAATTCACTTGGAACAATAATGCAATTGGTGTTATTCAATTCAAATCTAATAAGATGTTACAGCTTATCTTTCCTTAAATGGCATTTTTTTCCAACCAAACCTTAAATGACATATTAGTTGGACATAATTTACATGTGATTAATTGAAGTGGCTTGTAGAAAATCTGGGTTCCACAACAAATATTCAGAACTGAGAACCACACAGAGATAAAGGTCATTGGTCATATGGCCTAAAGTAAGGCCCCTTTCAGGTACACTATGGTTGCAACAGCTCGGTCTCCCCTTAAACTTAGTAGATGACTATGAGAGACTCTGCATGTGATATATCGAAGCAGAGCGTATAATATACCCTGCTTGTCATTTCTATATCCATCTAGCCGGCATATGATTATAAAGGAGGACGTGCAATAAGCAGGTTATATTATATTGCTGTTCATTATAATCTGATGAGAGTGCGCGTGATTGACTGATGAACTTAAAGGAAATTATTAGTGGGTCATTTTGTGTCTTTTTTCACAGCTTCGTTTCGTTCTACTTAAATCAACTAATCGACCTCTCTGGAGTGATGAATGATGAATTAATTTGATGTTGTCATCAGTTGCAAGACTCCATTTTTATGATTGACTATTTTTATGATGTACGATGGGATCTTTTGCTGTCCAATGTATAGAACATATGGTTTTATGGAGCTTCATGTGACATATTTATTTATTTTTTTATTGTTACAGATATAGGTACGGATATGTTCTTCTGAATTTACGCCAACACTTCTCTGATTTTGCAAGATTATCTGTGTTTCCAATTAATAAATTGATTATGCCTTCAGACTTCCGATTTTGTGGCTTCAGAAAAATGATGCATCTTATGCTTATTATTTTGTAGATTCAAAAGTTTAACCAAAGGCCATCACTAGGAAGTGTGGGATGCAGCTCTATTGGTGGCCCTGGATTTCATTTACACGCATTCTTAAAGAAGTAATTGCAGGTTCTGAAGCCAAATGGAGTCTGAGGTATTATGTACCGCTTCAGCAAATTCGCGGACCTTCTCTTGACAAACATATCTCATAATTGTAGGAGGAGATAACTGGCATGATGCTTGTGGTCTATCTAGATTACTGCAGCTTCTGAAGTACATTCTTATATCTTAACTGGTTCTCCGATTCATTAGTGTTACTGTGTTTTGTGTTTCCTGAATTTGTTAACTCTCTTTTTCAGCACCAATGCAAAACTGAATAAGAGAAGGACCGAGCAAAAGTTAGCAACCTTAACTTGTAGCTCCTCATTATTATTGCATTCGAAATATGCGTTCCATTTGCTCTTGGGATAATTCGGTTCGGTGGTACAAATTAATCTGACATTCGTAGCGCGCTTCGTTGTCTGTTGGTGTGTATATAGGGGTAGACGAGTTCAAGTGACAATGTTGACTTTCACCCTACGGTATAGATGCAGACCGTAAGCGGTGTTGATGGGAAGGATCAGAAAGATGCAGAGCATGAGGAGATAAGCTGGGTGGTTGGAGGGAAATCAAAGGAGATTTAGGAACGGATGAAAGAGATAAGCACTCAATGACAGTGTTCTATTTGAAAGAATGATGTGGGGTTTGGGGATAAGGTGCCAGCAAGTGGCTGGTATTATTATAATCAGGGGATTAGGTCTGTGGGTTAAAATATGGAAAGAAGCTTCTAGGTTGGGAAATAAATTATTGATTACAGTGACTGGACCATAAATCCGTTTCTTTTCTTCAAGAATTAGAAAAAGTTTGGTTAAAAAAATGAAGAAAGCCTATTGTGATGATAATATAATCTCATAGCCAGTCATCGTGATAAAAGATAGGCCCCCAAAAGGATACTTTATTGAAAATAGGCAATCGGTAGCTTTGTCTTGGGGCAACATGTGCACTCAAACAACCGATCTTCAGAGGACGCTGATTAATTAATGGCAAACAGGATGATTTAAAATAGGCAAGTGGGAAATAAGGCATCAGATGAGATGTATCAAATATATACATGTATAATTTGAATTATTTAGATTGGTTGGGAGCAATTTATTATTATTTTTCACCGAAGAAGGAGGCTTCTCATCTTTCTTCGTGTGGCAATTAAAATAGACTACACAAGAGGGAAAAAATAGAAAAAGAAAATAAGTAAACTAATAAGTATTGTGCATAATGTGATACTAAAACCTATTTAACTAATTTAATTGGATTAAGAAAAGTAGATAAGTTAGTTAATTATAAAAAATATAATTTTTTTTAAAGTATTATAATTATTTTCTTTAATGTTCTTCCTTCTTCTCCTATTTTATTATAATTGATAGAATATGAATGGAAGTAATTTAGAAAAAATTAATAAATGTAAAAAATAGGTTTTATATTTAATATCAATATTAACTTAGCAATTAGGTAGCATGCGTGAAATCTGCAAGCATTAGAGTTGGATCCAGATCTATAATCACCGGCAGATGTAATGATGTATAATGGACAAAAAAAGAAGAAGAAGAAGAAATGAAGCAATGATTGGGCATTCAAGTCTGATGCGGCTCTGCGTCCTGGCCGGTGTAGTTGGATGGCGCCCGCTTTGTTGTCAGTTTGCATCTTCACTTGGACAAATCCTAGCTGCCGACATATTGCTACGCTGTGGGGCGATTGCTTGCTCCCTTTTAATTTCAACAGCTTATCTCAAATGTACACTCTTTTTTATATAATGACATCCTAATATGCAGCACTGCATCCACGTCCACTTCTCACACCTTCCTCTTCATTTTGTTCCACACAAACACATCCACACCTCAGGCTGCAATCACAAATACAGCCAATTTCACTGATTACAGCACTTTACTAACAAAATATCCTTGCGTCAACCTTTATTTTAAAATTTTTAACTAAAAAAAGAGAGAGAGAGAGAGTTAATGTTGGTCCTCTTAAAATACCGTTCTTCATCACGTATACGCCCATAAATAACACGCATTACCGATCAATTTGATAAAAGAAATTAAATTAGGTTATATGAATGAAATGTTGGGGATTAGTTTCACAATAGACGAAAAATAGGCAGTCATCTTGAACAGCACTACCACTTTTTATTTTTCATGGCATCTCAAGCATAAAAATGTTATTGTTGAGAAATAGTAAGTAAAGGTAAGTGTAATTTGGAAGGGGGAGGGGAGACGACCTGGTCAAATTACTATTTCATGAAACCCGTAATCGTGAGGCATAGCAGGAAGGAAACAGAATGGCTAGCCATGCCCACGAGTTGATCTCTTTATCATTCAACACTGCATTAACTCCGGATCCTCTTCCTTCATCTCCCTCCCTCCATCTCTTCAATTTTGTCAATTTTATCACCCATCACCAAAGCTGAGCTTCTCGTCTCGGCAAAAATGGCGCAACTCCACAGATATGCTCCTGCTGATACTTCCAAATCTCCTGCTCCCACCGTCGAACAACTCCTCCGAGGTAATTAATATTCTTTCATGTGCCCACGCTTCTAGTCTTTTACATTAGTTACAACCATGACTCACCACCGCTCTACGTGGTGTATGTATAGGAGGAGAAGCCTCTAAGGGCTCACCGTCCTCCTCGTCGTCCGAGAGGTCCAAGCACTGGGACGCCCACGAAGATCATAGCCACCATCACAAGAAATCAGTTCTCACTAAAGTCAAAGAGAAGGCCAAGAAATTGCGCCACAAGTCAAAGAGAAGGCCAAGAAATTGCGCCACAGTCTCAGCAAGAAGAAGCACGATGATAACGTCATTCCCTCCCCGGTCGAAGATGAGGATGATGACGATACTGAATACCTCGGAGCCCCCAGTAATGTCATCTCCTCGTCGTCCGAGAGGTCCAAGCACTGGGACGCCCACGAAGATCATAGCCACCATCACAAGAAATCAGTTCTCACTAAAGTCAAAGAGAAGGCCAAGAAATTGCGCCACAGTCTCAGCAAGAAGAAGCACGATGATAACGTCATTCCCTCCCCGGTCGAAGATGAGGATGATGACGATACTGAATACCTCGGAGCCCCCAGTAATGTCATTCAGTCACTCTTTATTTTTGCAGAGATTCTTTCCTTATTTTCCTATGTGAATTCCAGTAATCCGTGTTGGGGAAAAAGATGGAGTAACATTTAAGGAAAAAAAAAAAAAAGTTTTGAAACGCATTAATATCAAGTATTGTTCTTTTAATATACTCCTCCACTATTTTTATAATATAATTTATATTGTAAAATAAATAGATCTGGTCCCAGCAAGAGTGCGCCTGATTACACAGTAAACCCATTCCTTCCCCTCCAAGTTTTCTGGGCCTTTCAGTTGAACCCCCGAGCAAGCAACTCCATCGGCCCCTACAACGTCTCGCAAAGTTTCTTCGGCCGTGTCTTCTCCGAAAACTCCCAGATCCAAGGCTGCCTCCAAAGCGTCTTATGACCCCTCAACGCCTCGGCATGCTTCATCTGCTCCAGTGACCCCACAAGCTTCGGCGCGTAATGGCTACAGTGACCATATATGGGATAAGGGTGTTTCAGTGAAAGAGTATTTGATGAATAAGTTTGAGCCCGGAGAAGATGACAGGGCCTTGTCTGAGGTGATATCTGAAGCAATGAGTCCTAAAACAGCTCCTGAAGATAAAGGTGTGATGGAAAAGTTCAGAGACGCCGTCACTTCTTTGCTCCGAAATGATGAACCCTCACAATCTACAGCCCAAACTCCTGTCACGCAAACTTCATCTGAAATCCCAGTATCCACCAACGCTTATGAAGGTATTGGAGTTGTTCCTCTGATTATCCACCCTTCTCTAATTGCTCTATCTATAGAATCCCTCGACACATATAGAATGCTTTCTTGTAGTGTCATGATAATTGTTTTGTCGCATCATTGCAGTTGGTCAGGAGGAGGACCATGGCAGAATTCTTCAAGCCAACTGAATGTTCACACAAGATTTCTTTTCCGCATTTTTGTGTATGTATTCGGCATTCTTTATTGGCATTGTTGAGGATGTATCAAATACTTAGATCCTACTCTTCTGGTCCCAAAGATCCTATATTTAGGACCGGAGGAGTAATTCCTAAAGATCATTCATTAATGTGTCTTTTTTTTTTTTTTACGTACAGTAATTAGTGTGGAATATTATCTGTGCATTTCACCACTACGGATAATCCAGCATATGAAAACTAAACCAAACCCAAACTAGATACTTTGGCATGGGCCCAGTGTACTAATAAAAAAATAACACTCCGCAATCCCATCAATTAGTTGGCAAAACTCGATTATTATCTATTAGTTATCACTGCATATTAGAATAAATCTATACAGTGATTCTTGCACTGTCTGCGATGAGTCATGAGCCCTATAAAGGATTAGTGCGTCATCATGAATACTAAACCATGAGTCAATGCCTTCGAGCAATTCGGGTATCTTCACATGCTACACTGTACAGCACATAACGCGACGCTCACCAAGTGGTAATGAGTTGTGATCATCCGGAGCTAGTTTAAGCCGTCACTTCAAGATTTTGGATTCAATATCTTCTAGGCTCAGACCTTTTGTCTCAGGAACAGAAGATACAACGAACAGGAGTGATAATAAAGCAATAGCACCAAAAAGGAGAAAAAGGTTCTCTGCTCCTAGAATCTCCTGCATGATTAACACAAGGCAATACAAGATAAGGATAAACTAAATCCCAATAGTGGCCAGGACAATATTAGAAATGATTAAAATGGATAAGCAAATAAGAATTACGAAATAAACACCAAAATAAAGAATGAAAAAAAAAAAAAAAACCTTTAGTGGATAGAATGCAAAGGTCACAATAGCATTTGACGCAAAGTTGGTCAGAACTGCAAGACTAATCCCCCTTCCTCTTGTCCGAAGTGGGAAAATTTCTGAAACCATAAGCCAGCTTATCGGCCCAAAGGATATCTGCAGAACACGCGCAAAATTGTTATTAATGAGGATATTCTTTTTCTATTTGTTTTTTTTTTTTTTACGTGAGGATATCAGCAGGGCTAACGGCCCAAAGGCTACCTGGTAGCAACCAACATAGAGAAGTAAAGCAGCTACAGCAATAACTGGGAACCCCCCAAGAAATCTGTAATACGCTGACAGAAGAACCAGAGAAAGGGCCTACAAAACCAAGGAAAAGTAGAATAAAAATTGCATTGGACAAGTTTCTGTCAAAAATACTGCAAGAATCTCTTCTTTTTTCCCCCTTTTGTTATTCTGAGAATCTGTTATCTTAAATATGAAAATAGGATGCGTACAATGCCACTGACACCTCCAATCAGGAGAGGTCTTCTTCCCAAATCATCGACTTTCAAGACAGCAATCCAAGTCATCAGTAACTACAGGTGTTGATGGACAAGAAACAATGATCAGTGTCACATAACAAGCACCATCTCCAATTTTAAATGAAAAGTAAAATGGCATACCTTGAATAAGCCAATAACAACTGAAACTTTTGTGGCATCAGATGCAGCCGAAAATCCAGCATTCTGTATATTAATAACAGAAGTCAATCAAAAGTGAACAAGATGGAAATGAAAAAATTTAATTTTACAAGACTGGGGAAATGGAGTTAGAGGTAAAAGTACCTGAAGAATTGGACCTGCATAATATAGAACACTTGGTTGGCCTGTTATCTGTTTTAATAATCTAATCAGACAAATCACAAAAAGATGTCTCCACTTACCCTTAAATATGTCATTACTAAAATGAAGAGGTTACGGACAATCAAAATAATAATGTAATATACTCATGTGCACCAAGTAGAACTAACCTGTTGGAATAAGACTAGACCCCCACCAATTATGAAGGCTTTAAGACTGGGGCCCTGAAATACCTCCAAGAAACTCCCCTCCTCCGATTTCTCTTCTTCATAGGCAGACTTCAATGAGACAAGGGTCTCCTCTACTTGCCTCTCAGAAACTTTGTCACCTGGCGGCCGGCCCCTTAATTTGCTGAGGGAAAATATTGCCTTTTCCTTCAACTCTTGAAATGAACCTTTCCCTTGAACTGCCCTTAGAAGCAACCACCGTGGAGATGAGGGAAGAAGCCACATTCCAAGCCCCATAAGCACAGCGATTGGAGCACTTATTCCATACATGAACCGCCATCCCCCAACTGTGTTGATCTGAAAGCTTCCCACAAAATAACCCAGCTGCATAGAGGTTCGGTGTCCAACTAAGTCAGGTCTATAGTGGATAAAATAAAGATAAGATAATCATATGATACCAGAATGCCCAGGACAATGAAGAGTTCTTTTAATGATACTAGAGTTCCACGGATCTGTGATGGGCAAGTTTCTGCAATATATAAAGGAGCACCATGCATGGCCTGTAATGCAATCCGTTTGTAAGATTACAAAGTTGTCAGCTATATTGCAGAAAACACAAACAGGTCAGAGGAGCTCACCAAACCTATGCCTAGGCCATAAAGTAGCCTTCCCACTAATAGGACACCAAGTTCTGGTGCATAGGCAGTGATTGAACCCCCAAGCAAATATAAAGAGGCTGCAGTCATGAGTTCTCGCTTCCTTCCTAATGTCAGCCAATTGAATAGAATGAATAAGAAATATAACCCTAAAAATAGATTTCAATTTCAGTATGATAAGCAAAGGAATTTACCAAGGAAATCAGCAACAGCGAATGCAAGAAGGGAGCCTAGAAGAGCTCCGTACAGGGAACCGCTGACCTATGTTAGATGTTAGAGGTAAGACTGTAATCAGTATAGACAACAATAAGTTTTTCAGGACTATACAAGAAGTTTTCCAAACATGACACTGATTTATACCACAAGTCCAAGCTGAATGGCAGAGAGGTTGAACCATGTTATGCCGCTAAGCTCAGGTGACTGAATTCCAGCAAGGCAACAAGAATAGATTGCTTACTTTATACAGAATGATACAGCCAAATGCAACAAAAATATAACCATTGACAAATTCACCTGCAGTGAAATCGTAGCACCAGAGGTAGCTCCAATATCATACCCAAATAATAAGCCACCCAACGCAGGGAACAAAAACCTAAAATTTGGAAATAAGGTACTGATTAATTGAAATCAAAATGATAAGGGGCCTATGCGTTACAAAATTTGCCACTTTCATCACTTCTCTCTAAACTTTCAATCACAAAGGAAGCACAAAACTTAGGATTTGGGAATGGGGAAAGGAAAGGGGCAGGATTGACTCCTGACACTAATTTTGTTGGCAGCTGTCACTTGACTCTTTGCATGATTGGCGTTTTTTGGCTGAAAATAGTTGTTGTCGTCCATATAATAGAGGCATAATTTCGACAAATCAGTGCGTCTTGTTTTATAAGCGAAGTTTTAGTTCTAAAGTAACAATGAGCGAGTGAAGCCAGCTTTTCCAGTGAAGTTGCTGTGAAAAAGCCTTCACACCCAGCCAAGCTTCCTATTTGTCTGACTTTAACATGAGATTGACATAGTCGGAATGAAGGAGGAGTGACAGAAACGTACGGAAAAATTACAGAAGACCAAGAAAATTCTTCTCGGGATGTTGCGTCAGACGCAAGCGACTCGGGTGGTTCCCCCGAAGAAAAATCCCTCTGCGCTCCAGCCTGCCCAGAAGACAAAAGTGCATGATTAAATGATTATATTATAAAAAGCATGAAACTTTGATAAGATTGTAGGCTTTCGGGTTCTCACATAGAATCTGAGTCTGCGACCAGAGTAGGAAGGAGCAATCGGGTAATAGGCGCAGCTGGGAGCGAGAAGATCGTTATATGATGAAGCCAGACGATGATTAATATGAGTGTTGGAAAATGGAGCCTTCGGCAGTTTTGTTGTCCGGTGATGGAGCGACAGGTTGATCAAGTTGAGGGGCGGAGGAGTGGAGGCAGAGCAAGCCATGCGATCCCCAAAAGACAGGAATCAGTGAGTGGAATCAGTTGCTTGATAGCTATGGTTTCGTTATCTCTTTGTCCGCACTGTTTGCAAATTTATGAGTTTACGCTAACTCATCAATTTTCTACCTATCCATTTGCTTAAAGAATCATTTTGTAAGGGGGGAAAAAAAATGAGTTATGCATCTTCCTCTCTTTCCCCGCCCACGAGTTCGCGGAAAATCTTTTTTTTTTTTTTGGTAAAGAGGAGGGCTTAGCCCATTACAAAGAAAAGCTACACATGAGGGGATAGAGATCCCATATAATCTTGGTGCACAAGGGCCCTCAGCGAGTCTGGGACCGTATCAATAAAAACAAAACTATGTACCCTACTGAGGCCATCCTTCGCAAGCCTATCAGCAACTTTGTTGGTATCTCTTGGTGTATATTGAAACTGTATACTCCAGTTCCTTTTCCTCATCTCGACAATCAAAGTCCAAACCGAAGAGAAGTTCCCTCTTTCAACTGGGTGTTTGATGATCCTCTCAATCAACTCCTTAGAATCAGATTCAACAATGATCTTCCGTAGCCCCATAGGATCAATCAATTAATAAAAATCTTTTGTTGAGGCCATCGCATCTATCATTTTTACATATCAACCCATAGGATCAATCAATTAATAAAAAAACAGGCCCATACATTCACCACAAAAAAGTAAAAAACAGGCCCATACATGATCAGGCCACATCAATGAATTTAAAAGCATGCAATAGCACCGGGTCATAAATAAAGCCATTGACCGAGTAAGCATTTTGTTACGTTTGTTAATTTTTAATTTTTTTTGTTTTATTTTCATTTTTCATATGTATATTTTTAGTTCTTGAGATGCATCTCAAAAAAAAAAAAGGAAAAAAAGTATTTTAGAACTGAAGAATATGAAAGAAAAAAAGAAAGAAAATTACTAGTGAAGTTGTTTGAACATGGATAAAGAAGAATTAATTAATAAATGTACAAATCGGTAAAACGAGAAAACCATAATTGGAGCAGGAAACGTTTATACACTTATGTTTGCTCCTCTCATGGCGGAAAGAAGTGGATGCAAATAAAAGAGAATCTTATTATTGGCATGCTCTGACTTGCAGTAAACCTGGCATTAACTGACAGGTCCTCCTACAAACCCTATTAACCAACCAAACGTACGATCATTTCTGTAAAACCCCTTGATTGTTCAGTAATGGACCGTCAAACATAACTCCTACCCCTCTTTTCCGCAGCACCCTTTAGATCCGATACGGTCCATAACACAGCAGAGCAACATTAAACATCGATGCTCCGTATAAGGCTCCTGCAAAATCCCAGGATTGGATTTGATTGAGGAAATGGAAGAAAACAAGGGCACAACAAAAGCAGGGGGAAATGCCACCAGGTTACAGAAGCGTGCTCCCGGTTCACTTGAGCTTGATAAGATCAGCAGTGGCTTCCCTTTTGGAGCTTCTAATGAATCTTCCGATGCAATCCCATTACTATCCCCACTCATCTTATCTCCGCCGCCATCATTGATAGAGACTCCACACAGTGGAAATGACAACAAACGGTGTGGCAGTGTACAAGGTGGTCTGGCTTCATCCTCCGGGTGGCAGCATCCAGCTATGATGACTCCATTTCCTGAGCCTTCGTCTTTGTTTATCTTTTTCCAGAAACAATGTGTGATTGTTAATCAAGCGCAGTGAAGTGAGAATCGCCCCTTGCTTTTGATGCCTCTCCATGTCTGCACCTTATGGGTTCCAGTTAGGAGAAATCTAGTATTTTTCTTACCTGTTGTAACCGGGTTGGATTGGAGGGATGCCTCTTTTCCCCATCCTTCTGTGTCCTTTTTCATTTCTTTTTTCTTTGTGAGATTATAATTTATCTTCTTCAGGATCAGCTTGCACATCAATTGCAATCCTTTCAATTTCAGCGGCAACGCAGACGCAAATTGTGTTTGTAGAGCAATCTCCTGCCTCTCCTAAATAGAGGTCTGTATTAATGATACTAATTTCAAGAGTTGAGCCTAAGGATATTTAAAAGGACATTAGCCCTTTTATAAATTAAAGGGCCAATAATTGAGATCTGAGAAATAGATATCAAGTGTGCTTCTTGTCGTTGTTTATTAGATGTTTTGACAAATCCTCCGATCATCAGGCATTAGGAGCAAACCAACATATGAGGTAGACAAAGGGGAAAGGGGAAGTACCTAATATCATGGTTTGTTTTTTAAATTAAATGACTTGAAAAATCCTGAATTGGGAAGGGTTGTGAGCCCAACGTCGTATCATATATATGAAAACGAAAGGTCCAGGCGAACAGAAAAGGTTTTTGTCCCCCTTAACCTTTTTTCTTTTTTCTGGGAGGGGGGGAGGAGGGGTTGCTTGTAAAGGGCAAGACTCGTACCAACGAAAACATAGCACCAGAAGCAACGCAGAAAGCTATTGCGATAAAGGCTAACAAAGGCCAGAAATTCTTATTATGTTTTGAACCAGCAACAGCGAAGTTGGAGGAGACAAGTGGAAGAAAATTCGGAGCCTCAAAAGTTGGAGGCCGCGGCATCTGTTACAAAGAACGGTACGTTCATAAGCGGAGGAGCAGTGTGGGATGCAAAGAGCGCATGGAGATATGGCTTCTCTAGGAAGGTAAAAAATCGCCCCACACTACATAGCGAAACTGAAAGCCATAGCTTTGGTTCTGGAATACTGTTGGGAAAGGATATGCGACGTGAAGTTTTCACAGGCAATGCTCAAAATTAAAATGCTTTCTTTAAGGACTTATCTGACTTTCAGAGTCATCAAGATATTATTGACGAAGTCAGAAGGTTTTTATCAAGATTGGTCTGGGTCTGTTATTTTTTATCACATTCATAGCGACAGGATGCTTCGGTCAAGGGGGGAAAAAAAATCCTTCAAGCTATTATTAGTATTGATGGCGATCATTTTCGAGCTTTGATCAACCACTGCTTCTTATGTGAAAGATTAAAGATGGTGGATGATGAAAGATTCAACCACCTCAAGTCCCTAATATAAACACTAAATAACTAATTTAAAGATATTAAAAAAATTAATTAAATTAATTATTTATCACAAATATGTGTTTATCTCTCTACAATATGTATTTCAATCATGTGTATTAGACGATTAAAATTATCTTTCAATGGATATTTGTTTTACAAAAAAAAAAAAAGAGAGAAAATAAATTAAAATCTTACATTTAAAAGCAAATCAAATCCCCAACTAACCCTTATGACGGAAAGTAACATTTTAGTAGTAAATATATTCGGTTTCCACTCAAAAAGAAAATGTACAACAGAAGCCCAGGCCAAAACGAAAACATCGCGCTTGCTACAAAGCATTCCCCAAATGCTATGGCCAAGGTTTTAGAATCCAACTCCGAATAATCGCTCTCGAGCCAAAAAAGTAAAAAGTCGGTTCCAAAGCGTGGCATTACATGATCCCATTCGTAATTTCAACTCAGGGACTCCCTTCCTGCTTTATTCAAAGCTCAAATCCAAAGATTAATTAACATTATTGCGTATAACTACATGAAAGATGACCGAGATGACATAAATAATATCGTTATCATACAAAGCGATTCTCAATTAACCAAAATGTCCGAGTATACAGCGCTAACGGAACTAAGTACATCGCACTTGACAAATGGTAACCTTCAGAAAATATGCCTCAGAATACCATCTATTCATGTAAAGGCCCAACACCAATAACAGTCTCGAAAGCCGAAAGTATTAAGGATATCTCTCCTCCTTAAGCTTTCACTTAATATTAAGGATATCTCCCCTCCTTAAGCTTTCACTTAATATTTTTATAATCAAACAAGAAGACTTGAAACACCCCATGACACCCTGCCTTATGCTTCACATACATCCACCAAATCGTGATAAATGACAAAAATCAGAAGTCAAATTCTCCTGTCGCCTGCAAAAAAAAAAAGTGCATAATAACCGGCAAATCAAATAAACATGTCAAACTGATAACTGAAATAATGAGGTAAGACCAATCTCCTCAATCGTGAGCAACACACCTTATTGAAGAGAACGTCCCTATTGTTTATGCGCATGATCCCATCCTTTAATGTGCATTTCCACCTGCTCTTGGTACGCGTCACCTACATTAGGGGCAAGACTACCATTAGTTCTCAAAAAGTGGAGATATTCAGAATGCAACCATATAACATATAGCACTACAGTGCACTTCGTGTTGTTACCTTGTCAAACTGAGCCAGAACAAGATGCTGGGTATTGTGATCCTCTCCTTGATCCACATCATCCACATCATCCAACTCATCATCATCATTTTCATTCAATGGGGGTTCTTCATCATCATCATCTCCAGCCTCATTTTGAGCAACAAGAGCAGGGGTACTTGCCGGTACTACTTCTAAAAATTGAGAAAACAAATGATGCACCATTAAAATTAGAGACGGATGCACATGTGGTGAGCAGTAGATATCACCAAAATATAGTAACATCATGCCCATTTTTTACCAGGAGGAGCTGGTGTATTTGCAATGTTGTAGTCTTCATTGAACACTCCTCCATAATTGTATATCTGAAATAAACAGGAAGATGGTGGAATGCAAGACATGAGAAGACTGTTATGTATACTTAAAAAATAAAAAAATAAAAAAAAATTTTGAGGGGGGGTGGTTGGGGAGGGAGGGATGGGATCAGTCAGAAGTATCATACTTAAAAGGTCCTATAAGGCTCTGTTACAGTTAGAACCAGTAAAAAAAAATAATCCATTTCTCCATTCAACATCCCCTTTCATTTTCCTTGTTAATTTTTCCCAAGGAAAGTCATCGTTTAAATCATTATCATCTCCCATCCTCCTTTCTTTCTCTCTTTATCCTAACAATTCCTTCCCTTATCCCCCCCCCCCCAAAAAAAACAACCAATAAACCCTCAGCGATTAGCAAGAATAAAATAATTGATAGAACTAACATTATTAATATAACCTAGTTCATTTACCAAATCATGTGAAAATGAAAACACTACTCTTGACATGAACCCAACACGGAATTAAACAGATAACTAGCCAACATGAGTACAAAAATCTTGAATTTACT